TTGAATAGTTTCTGTTCACAAAGTTCAATAGGAAACAAATCAAACTTACAGTTTGTTCAAACGATCCAAAGAGTTGAAGAAGAACATCTGAACAACAGACTGAGACCCAACAGAACCACAGCAGTGGTGCCTCACCTGAACAGAAAAACTTTAAATATTATGAGGAGAAATTACCTCAAACTGGTCTGACTGGTCAGACTGTCTAGGAGTCAGGCAGGGCTGCCACCTTTCAGAAATTAAAATAACGGACGCCCACCACAGCATGTGTCGCCCTACTCTTATTGGGTGGGACGGCCACTGCAGTGATAGACAATATTTTATGGCAGTGTTTTTTGTTTTTAAAAAGTGATCCAGAAAGCAATCATTCATACATAGATTACTCCAAAATTTTACTTGACTCAGAGCAGCACACCTTAAACATGTTTAAGCAAGTGTAAAGTGTATTTGGTAAACTACTCAAGTGAACTACTCATAACATCGAATTTAATCAAAATGTGTCCTCAAACATAGCTCCAAAAGTATAAAAGTTGTGTGAAAATTCTGGTATTGTAAAAAGTATTACTAAAATATTTATAGAAATAAGGAGTTAAGCTTGGAAGCTGGTTCTAGATCAAATTTACCACAAGGACCAGGATAGTCAGTGTTTTTTAAGGGGACACTTAAAAAAGAATGAAACAAAAAAACAGAGCAATATTTCATCATTTGATATATCAAGTGAGCCAAAGAGCCACTTCTCTCTCCAGAGATTCAGGTTACAGATCTTGATCTAGTAGATGGAAAGTATGATCCTATACAGCAGCTAAAACTGTAGTACTATCATTTTTAGTTCATTGTTAAAATGTAAAATTGTGAAGGTTACAAAAAATATGCACCTCTGAATATTAACAAAATACATTTTTTTAGCATAATTTCTTCTGTACCCTGTTGGCCCCCATGTAGAACCGCCCCTGGGCTGCAGGTCCTTGTCTGACATTAATATACATTAAATGACCACTGAACACTGAATTAATAAAAAATGTCAACATTTTTTAATAAAACAAACAGAAAGCCCTAACAAACCTTTATAAAGTAGGAAATATTTATATATTTACTGTTAATCTCTTAGTATGATTTGTTCTTTAAATGCTCATTTATAGTATTTCGGCTGGTACGACTAAATAAGCAAATAATTGATTCTTTAATTATTATAATTAAACCATAATAAACCACAATAAGAAACAGTGGCTGCGTAGTGTCCGTCTCTAGGCAACCATAACAGCGTCGGTCCGTAGCGTTCAGGGCTCCTATTTACATCCAGCCACTACAATTTAGCTGACCTTAATATTTCCTGTGTTTTATTTTGGTCATTATTGATACACTTAGTGTTGATATGTGTGCGATAGACATGTCTATTGGACATTTACAGAAATACGGAACAAATTGTGTTCTGTATCGGTCCAACACGGGACACAACATTTAACAGCCAAATCCCGTATTTTAAGGGACGGGTGGCAACCCTATGAGTCAGAGGAAAGTTTATCTGTTGACGTCTGAAGACATAAATCCTCCTCATGACTCCCAGTCCAATCACAAACAATCTACTGCTGTTATTCTGCTGATCCAGGTTCTGTTCAGATGTAATGGAACCAGAACCTGTTTGAACTTTGAACCAACTGAACTAACTGGTGGGGATTTGTCTCCCTCTGCTGGTGAAACTACAATTTGCCTGATGTCTGATTATTAAACCCAGACGAAATGTTATCCAATTATGTCAGTGATGGTCAAAGTTATCAGAACCAGAACCAGTTCTACTGTTTCATTTATCAGGACATGAATAAAGATCATTTGTTTTAAAATGAGTTCTATACAACAGCATCACAGATTTACATTGAATCATTATTTATTGACCAGAATCAGAACCATGATGCTGAAGCAGTGAGTAAAAAACTAAGTCCATCTTTTCTGCTTCCACAGCAGGTCAAAGGTCAGCAGGTCAAAGGTCAGCAGAGAAGCTCCTGGCCAGATGGAAATCTGTATTTTAATTATTTTTACGCTTTGACAGTAAATAACAATTAGTTTCTGGTTTCATGGAACTAAAAACAAAATAAAAACCAAGAAACAATAATCCACTAAAAATATAAACTAACAGAAACTAACCTGAAAAATGAAACACAGGAGGAAACTAAACTGTAGAACTTAACATCACCACAATACTGCTGCTTACTCCACACGTGGTTATAATGTAGATTATTACTATATGAGAGCTGAGTTTCTTTACACTGAAAGCTGGGAAATCTTCACTCCTCCCATCCAGTGACGTTGAGATGATCTCAATGTAACAAACAGCATAACTGGATCTGAATCAATAGGGATAAATCTATTATCTCCAGCTAGTTATGATTTAACTCCAATCAAGATTTTAATCACAAAATCCATCTACTTCCTGGCATTCCTGAACTTTTCTATCCTACAAAACACTTTTATTTGTTTATCATCAAAGCCTCCTGTCTGCAAACTCCATGTTCTGAAGTGAGATCCACATGTGGAAAAGGTTTTCCGGCTCGTAGCTTCAGTCCAGCTCTTCTTTAACACCAAAACACTGAACGGAAGAATCTGGACCATCTGGTTCAGCCATTGATCAACAGACAACAACACTGGGTGTGTTCGTGGATTCCAGTCTGTTTTGTTAGCTGTCGGCTTTTAGCCGCTTCCTGAATCATTTCTATGAGTCATAATCTGTTTGAGTGAAAGGGGTGAAAAGCTTAAAACTGAACAGGAGCGCCGTTACACCTGTCAGGGAGGTGATAGGACAGCTGACAGGTGATTGGCTGATGCCGTTCAGGTACAACTAACTAGAAAAGGGTGGAGATGGGCGTGATCTGAATTCACTGCAACGCAGCTCTGATTGTCTGGACGAGCTTTGTGACTCAGGTAAGATCCTAAATGTTTTAATCTCCCAGTTTTCTAAATTATTTTGTTTATGTTTGGAGTTTTTTGCGTTTGTTAGCTTAGCTTCCTGTCTTTGTTTCTCACCTGGGTGTAGGTAGTGATCTAATTATGCGTCAACGCCTCTTTGTTTCTTCTGTTTTTCCTTGTTTGATGGCTGAGATTCTTCTCCACATTTCTCTTGTGGCAACTAAATTACTTACAAATCTCCGATTTTTTTCCCCCTGCAGTTTTGTCCATTGAAACGGGTTTTAAAAATCGAGTTAAAATGTCTCTTTTCAAGAAGTTCTTCAAAGGTATCATCCACAACAGAGACCCAAAAGATGAAACTGTCAAGGTGAGCATACAGGTGCAGGTTGATGAACTTAGAATATCATTGAATCAAGTCCAATAATTCAGTACAAGAAGTGAAACATTTACATTAAGTACTCAAAATGTATCAATTTATGAAAACCCACTATTTGGTTCTCATAAAGTTAAAATATTACACAAGACTAGTCAAAATGTCCACTATGTTAAATAGTTTTAAACCACAAAATGTATTTTTGTAAGAAAAACAGGTAGCTTAGTGTGTTTTATGCAAGTATGGAAAGCTTAGTGGAAGAAAAACCTGAGGTGTAAGTTATATTAATCACAATAGTTACAAAAAAACAGCTGAAAATAGAATAATTTCATATACAATTCACTTTTTGAATTGAATTATTGTAATAAATCAGTGATAATCTATGTTGAAATGCGACTGATTTCTAACTCTGTTAGAACTCTGTTATGTTTTCAGCAGTATTTATAGTTTTGGTAATAATCTACTTTTGGTTGTTTGTGAAGGTGAAGGAGGAAGCCAAACCAAAGTTCTACGGGACGGTTCCTCCGTATCCAAACTTCAATGCCAGCAGTGATGCATCAGTCCTTCAGAGTGCCATTGAAAGTAAAATTGTGTGATCAGAAATGTTCTTGTTTCTACGTTTTATATATAAAGGTTGTATTTTTAATAAGTTACTGAAAAACTTTATCTTTTAAAGTAATTTGAGGTTTTTATTAAGGTTTTAAAAATGAATATTTGGAATAGATGTATTTTTTCCTTTGTAGAAGTGGATGTGGATGTGATCGTTGCCATTCTTGTGAAGAGAAACAACGAGCAGAGGCAGAAAATTAAAGCCGTTTATGAATCGTCCTCTGGAAAAGTAAGTTGTTGCTGCATCCTCAGTGCACAAAGATGCGTCATCACAGATCCTTCCTCAGCAGCCGTCAAAGCGTCCTTCTTTTCCCCAGTTTTAAAGGAAACTGGGGAAGAGAGGTTCCCCAGTTTCCTTTAAACTGGGGAAAGAGTTTCCCGGTTTAAAGGGAAACTTTAAACTGGGATAATCTATGTTGAAATGTAAACAGAAACTGGCAGTTTTCTGTTTACAAGAACAGAGGAGATTTCTGTTCTTGTAAAAACGCCGGACAAAGTGAGCGACAGGAAAAGATTACAGTTTTAAATAACTTAAAATGGTTGCATAGATATGTTTTTTAAAATTATAAATTCAATACAAATTTAATTTAATGAAATGTAGATTTAACTGAATAATAAGAAAGTTCAGCAAGATTTTTCATCTTATTTTAAATCATTGAGACACAGAACACAGAATACTACAATAAAATGCAATGTTATGTAATGAAAGCCACCAGGGGTTTACTAATAATGTCTTACAATAACATATTATATAAATACATTAAATAGGGAACCTTTACTGGCTTTAGTATTGGTGGAATTTCTAATATTTTTGTTCAACCTTTTTCTTTTTCTAAAATGGAAACAAGTTTTTTTATTAGTCTAAGCGTATTTGTGAATTGGCTAAGTAATAAAATTAAAAATATAGAATTGTTTTTATTAGATATTGGGTGTCAATGAAGCCAAATGATACATGTTCAAAGCAAACGCAGAGATCCAGTTACATTTTTTTGGAGCTTTTTGCTAGCTTGTGTTTACCCTCGTCACGGTTGCTAGGCAACGGAGCATTCCTGAGGATAAGGGCGGGAATAAATCTGACAGCTAGACCGTCCATTTTGACAGCCACTCTCTTCCACTTGTCTTATTTTGTTGTCAGATTTGATATTGTGAGATTTTATTTATATACAGGTAAATGTGTTGTATGCTTTTCAGTACTTTTAAAAGGTGAATTTGAAGAAAAGTTAAGTTAAATACAGTTTTAAATGTCACCACCAGAGGGTGCTAAATTCTACTAATGGGACTTTTAATGAAACTGCAGGTGCATCTCAGTAACTTCACCATGAAGTTTATTTTAGTAATTCAGGTTCAAAAGTGAAAAGTAATTAAATAAATCTAAAGCTGCAGACCTTTGATGTTGTTTTTTCAGAATCTGGTTAAATCCCTGAAGTCGGTCCTCAGGTCAGATGTGGAGGACGTGATTCTGGCTCTGCTTATGCCTCCAGCTCACTTCGATGCCTTCCTGCTCAGGAGAGCCACCAAGGTAAACCGGTACAGATTTACAATCTTAACTGTGGTCAAGATGAAAAATAAGGAATCGTTTGTATCTGTAGTACGAATAAAACAAGTTTAAAATGCCACTATTCATAAATATTAACATAAAAAGATGCACTTTTGTTCTATTTTCAGTACCAGAATGAAAAATATTAATATTTAAAATTAATGTAGAAAAAGAAGCTCTTAGGGTAATACGTCAGATTTTGGTACCAGACCAACAAAATGGTGCAAAGATGCCTTAAGTTTGGTGCAACACTTGGTGCCTTTTATCTTTTGGGGGGAATTTAGTTTAAATGATGGTCCTGTCTCTCTCTTGTTGTCCTGTTCATACTGCAAAAATATGAAACCTCACCTTTGGTCTAGATTTTCACGCAAATATCTTAGTGCACTCTAAATACTAACTCACAGGGGGACACACAAAATCAGCCCAGGGGCCACATATGGCCCGCAGGCCGCACTTTGGACACCCCTGTGTTTTAGGATCAACGTTGCTGTGCGTTGCTGATGAATTTCTTCTTCCTGTTTGTTGCCACAGGGTGTGGGAACAGACGAGGACGTCCTCGTCGAGGTTCTGGCGACGAGATCCTACGCAGAAATTCAAGAAATAAAGAAAGTCTTCAAACAAGGTTTTTAGGATATCCTCAGTTTATACGCAGTTATAATACTTCATACTTGAAGTTGTAATACTTAAATATCTGTGATATTTACTGACGTACTTACTGCCAAACTAGCAAAGTTAGCTTAGCCAATGTAGCTTTTGTCTGCTAGCTAACACAAACATGTAGCCTATGTGTTTGTTACTACATGTTCTTACTCTGCCAGTAATCAGAACCTCGTTATTCACTTAAAGACTTTGAGTCTTTTATTAATCTGTTTAAACGTTGAATGTATGTGTCCATTGATTTCAGGCGAAGCTCCTGGGTGATTTACGAACTCTTTGTTTACTACATAATAGTATGAGATCAGAACACTGCAAAAACACAAAGTCTTATCAAGTAATTTTGTTCTAATTTATAACAAGTAACTTGCAATTAACTTTTCAGAAACATATAGGAGCTTGTTTTAAGTAATTAATAATGAGAAAACTATACTATTTCCATTGGTAAATTATTTTACTTACATGGAAAAAATGTTTTGTTGTAAGTTAAAGTAGAACTTTTTAAAAAAATCAATATTAAGGAATTGTTTACTTAAAACAAACTCCTATATCTTGCTGAATTTGTTAATTGTAAGTTAGTTTTGTCTTGTTTTAAGTGTAATAAAATATGTACCAAAAATACTTGTTAAGTTTTTGTGTTTTGCAGTGATGAAGCTCCGTCTCATGCAGGTCGATCCCGACAGCAGCCATTTTGTTCATGTATCTTTCTCATTGGTCAAGACTGTCCACATATTTTATTTTTGTTGAGCCGTTTGTTCTGAATTTTGTGGTCAGAGTACCAGAAGGAGCTGGAGGAGGTGATTAAGGATGAGACCAGCGGTGACTTCACCGCGGCGCTGCTGGCCATGCTCAACACCAAGCGAGACCAGAACACTGTGGTCGACATGGAGCTGGCCAGGAAGGACGCCAAGGTAGAAATTAAGCTAAGAAACCCAAATATGAGTCATTCAAGTTGGTTTATTTTGTGATTTTTCTTTATTTTTATTGTTTTGATTGGTGTACAAGTATTAAAATAACCATAAGTTCATGTGTTGAAGATGATATTCTAATATTTAAGTATTTCTGCTTTTATCAGGCGCCTAAATGTCCTCATTTTATTTTTGTCTTGTCCAGATTTTGTTTGAAGCAGGCGAAGGCATCGGCAAAGCAAACGTGTCGACCTTCATCAACATCCTGACCACGCGCAGCGGCCCGCAGCTCTCTAAAAGTGAGTGACAGAAATGTGTCAGTTGTTGGGTTTCACTCCAACGTGACGATACACCTGGACAAACAGGTGGAGCAGCGCTGACAGGTGACCGGGTCACACCTGGGCGCCAAACAGAAGACCGGCTGGGAAATATTCAATGACCTGAACGAGTTATAAGGATTTGAGACGATGTTGAGTTTTAATCATACAGAAAGCATTCAGGCCACTGGGGAACCGGGGGGTAAATGTTTCTGAGATTAAATTTAGGATTCTGATATTTTCATGAAAAAGTCTAAATTCTGCTAAAAAGTTTGAATTAATATTTTCATAAAGTCTGAATTCTTGGAAAAAATTTAATTGTGAGATTAATGGTGAGAATTCAGGGAAAATTTTGAATTCTGAGATGAAAGTTGAAATTCTGATATTTAAAAAAAGTTAGAATTGTTTTTCCCCCGCCCCCCCCCCAAAAAAAAAAAAAAACTTTCTGGATTCAAAGAAAATATTAACTTATGAGGAAATACGGCATTTTTTATATTGAAGTTAGAACTGTGAGACTAGAAGTAGAATTTTTGACATTTTCAGAAATTTTTTTTAAAATAAGTCAACTTCCTGTTTTTCCTCATTAATAGAATATCTTCAGCTTTTTAGCAGGAATATATTTAAAAACAGATCATATATTCAGTCCAGTCGTTCAAACATAAAATGAAAGTTCTTTTATTGTTTCCTGCCAGCGTTCCAGCAATATGCTGCCATCAGCGACCTGACGCTGCCGAAAGCCCTGCAGATGGAGCTGAAGGGAGACATCGAGGACTGCCTCATCGACATCGGTAACCAAAACACGTTACTCTGGACCAGAAAGCACCTCAGATTACCACGATAAACAACAGTACTGCCATTATCAGACCATTACCCACTAACAGTATGATTAGTAATGGCTTATTAACACACTGAAATATATAAAAAAATCCTTAATTTCTAAAGAACATTTAACACTGCAACTCAAACATTTAAAATATTAGAATTCTGTATCTCACTTGTTGAATTTGTGAAAAAGAAAAACAATGAACTGCTCCCTCTAGTGGGGGTTCTAGATGTGGCAGCTCCTTATAAATCCAACAATTTACACATTTACATCCAAATCAAATTTACGACTTTTCAGTCTCAGAAATCTTTTTTTTTTTTTTCGTTTTCGTTTTTTTTTTCTTTTTTTACATTTCTGAGGTTAATCTCAAATATCTGAGTTTTTTTTCCTAGAAAATGTTTGACTTTTTTTTCTTTTTCTCATACTCAAGTCAAAACTGAGCTTGTCTCAAATTTCTGAAATTAATTTTAAAAAAAATTTTCTAGCAAATGTTTTGGCTTTTCAAATTCAAATTTCATCATTTTTTAAAGAAAATTTCTGGGATTAATCTTAAAATTTCAAGTTGTTTTCTATAAAATGTTTGACTCTTGGAGCTCAAAAAATGTGTTTTGTTTTTTGTTTGGCAGAACTGTTCTCACATTTTATTATTTATCTACAGCGGCTCTAACATGTTGTTTTACTCTTAGAATTGCATCCCAGACTGAACAGAAGATTGTTTATTTTCTGTTCAGTTTGAGCTCAGCACCATCCAGCTGGTTTAAATGTTTAACACCTTTTTGTTCATCTTTAAAAAGTTTTGGCGCATTGAGCTGAACCCTGAAGCTCCACAGCTGGGAGACAGAAACATCTGGACTCTGTTATTTTTAGTCTGTGACGGCGTTTTTATTTCTGTTTCCTCTTTCATGTCCAGTGAAATGCGCCTGGAACACACCGGCTTTCTTTGCTGAGAAACTCAATCGGGCCATGAAGGTGAGTGAACACACTCCTAATCTCACTAATAACATGGTTAGAATAGGGATTATTCTGGATTAGGATGGCTACAGTGTTCATATTTTACCCTGTTTTAATAAACTCCTTAGGTTAGAGTGATATGGAAAGCTGTTTTAGCATAAAATCAGTTTTGTCTGTCTGTAATTAAATTCCAGATGTGTAAAAAATAGTTTTGTATGATGGCGTATTAATACCAGTGTAGATAGAAAAAAGGAGGAGTACAATTCTGCCAAATAAGCTCAGAAAGTTTTACATAACCTCAAGAATGTTCTAGAAAAAAAAGTTTACATTTCTGAGATTGAAAAGTCAAACATTTTCTACAAAAATTCTAATTTTGAGTTTTATCTCAGAAAATTGCTAGAAAAACCTTTGAAATTTTTGAGTTTGTGAAGTTCAAAATGTGCTAGAAAAATTCACATTTTGAGATGAATCTAAAAAATTTAGAAATTTCAGAAAGTTAAGATTAAAATTAAATTTAATCTGATACATTTTCTAGAAAAATTGGAAATTTCTGAGGCTAAAAAGTTGAAAATTTGCTAAAAAAAAAAAAATTAACTTTCAGTTAAATCTCAGAAAATTTCAAGAAAAATTTTTTGGAAATTTCTGAGTTTGGAAAATTTGCTAGAAACAAATCTGAAATTTTGTATTTAATCTTAGAAATTTTGTAGAAAAAAAGAAATTGCTGAATTTGAAAATTCAAAACTTTGTTGAGCCCCCCCTGCCCCCTGACATTTTTAGATTTATCTCAGAAATTTTCTAGAAAAAAATAGGACATTTCTGAGTTTGGAAAGTTGAACATTTTAAACTTTTGACAATAAAATCACTTACAGCATGATTTTTCTCCATGTTATAAGTAAAATAATCTCCCAGTGAAACTAGAACTTTTAAAAAAATCAATATTAAGAAATTAACTTAAAACAAGCTCCTATATCTTGATCAAAAGTTAGTTGTCTTATTGTTTTGTCTTATTTAAAGTGTACTAAGACATATACACTGTAAACTAAACCAAAAATACTTGGTAAGATTTTGAGTTTTTGCAGTGTAAAAGGTAACTTTTGGCAAACTGTATTTCTAAGATTAACTGTCTTTTATGCAACATACAGTTTTTGTGAGAATAACCATACATAATATTTTATGACTGAACTAAGTTTGATCCATGAAAAGGAATCAAATTTCCAACTAAAATTGTAGTAAATTACAGTTTTTGGTAGTTTTGGTCCATTTGGTCCATTTTCTGTCTTACCAGGGTCACGGTACGCGTGATGAGGCTCTGATCCGGATCCTGGTGAGCCGCTCCGAGGTCGACCTGCAGAAGGTCGTGGAGGAATACCGGGCAATGTTTGAGAAAACCCTACATGAAGACGTCATGGTAAAATGCGTTTCCCAAACTGTTCCTATGTTTACGTCTCAAACCACGTCAGTAATGTTTCTGTTTTTCAACAGAATGACACCAAAGGACATTATCAGAAAGTTCTGCTTGCGTTGTGCGGACCGAACTGAGAACCTGAATACCTCTGAGGAAGCAAAAAATCAGTCAAATTCATGTTTTAATAAAGCCACTCCTTCCACTTATATCTCTTTGTTCTACTGTTGCTTGTAGAATTTGAGGTAATGTGTGTTTAAATGTCTGATCCAACATTTAAACATTTAAATGTCCTGTAGGAAGGACATTTTATTGCTTATACTGAGATTAACTGACACAAACCCAATTTAAAAAATACCTACCTAAAGTTTGTAAGGTAGGTTAGCTCAGGGGGTTAAGAGCGTAGCACTGGTAACGCTCTGGTCATCAGTTCAAACCCCATAAAGTCCTTCAGACAATCAACTTCAAAATATAAAAAGGGTGAAAAACACATTCAACACTTTAAAATGCAAATGGCTCTGAAATACAATAAACACTTGAAAATACAAAATATTATACATGTTGATTTTGAAAAATAATAGAATAGAAACACTTTTCTCAAATTCCTTGTGTTAAGATTATGTAAGTTGTTCTTTAATCCATGGAAGCTCATCATTATCTTAATTATTATTAGTGTGGTGCTAATAATCCTGAGGTCATGGGTTCAATCCCCTTGCTGGCCAGTTGAAACATAAAGTGTTTCAGACAATTAAGACTACAAAGTGACAAAAGGATTTAAGTGAACAAACTGTCAGACTTATACTTGTGCCTAATTTCATATTACAGTCCATAAACTAAGCCTGAGATCAAAAAATGTATTGAAGATGTCAGGAACAGAGACAAATGGTTCTACTGAGACTTGAACTCAGATCACTGGATTCAGAGTCCAGAGTGCTAACCATTACACCATAGAACCACCAAGTGGCATTTTGAGTAAAGTAACCTCGATTTCAAAGATGCCTGCAGTGAATTCGATTGGCAAATTAACCATCACGAAAACACAAGACTCTTGTTGTCTCACTACAACCTGTGAGAAGGACAACATTCACAACCTGTTTCCAACTGGTTTCGAACCAGAGACCTTTTGCATGTTAAGTAAACGTGATAACCACTACACTACAGAAACTGAACTTTTGTTCTTTGTTTCAGTTTGAGGTTCCAAATTTGTAGATGCCAGGATGCAATGCATCAAGTTTCCACAGAGGCTTGCACTCAGATGCCTGGATTCAGAGGACAGACCGCTACACCATAGAATCCTTGCTGACCTTTAACCACCTCGATGAGATGACTGCATTGCATATGGATGGTTAGCTCAGCCAGTCAGAGCGAGCTGTTCATAATGTCAAGGTTGTGGGTTCCATCCCCATACTGCCCAATCAGACAATCAAAATGAAAAAGGGTGGTAAATGAAAAACAACATTTCAGTATTACAAAAGGTTGACAAATAAAATCAATACTTAAAAATAGAAAAATGTTTTAAAATTAAATCAACATTTCAAAATGCATGAAAGCTGGAAAATATACCTCTACAAATGTTGATTTTGAAAAAAAATTAGAATATGAGGACATTTTTTTCAAATCTTCATTGTGGTAAGATCATGTAAGTTTTTCTTAAATCCATTGAAACTTAACATTCTGTGTGGCTGTTTAGCTCAGCAGGTTAGAGCATATTGCTGGTAACGCTGAGGTCCTGTTTTGATACAAGAAATATTTTCAGAGTGAGACCTCTTGCTTCTCCGCAGATCTGCGCAACATCAAGGCTCACGATGTCTGTTACGTGACGTAAACTGTGTGTCGTATGCGGAAGCGTCAGGGCTTTACGGACGGTTCGGGTAGTTCTTCTCCTTTTCTGACTTTTATCGTTTATTATCGTCATTTTGAAAGAGAGCGGGTTTATTTTCAGGCTCTAACAAAGCGTTCAGATGCGTTTCGGTGACATCCGGCGGCCACAGAGGACGTGACGGCGCTACAAACGGCAGAATGAACCGAGCCAGAGGAGGCCTTGTTGTTTACTGCAGCGGTAAATGAACGCCGCTACGAAGGTTTTATTTCTCCACTAAAAGTGATGGTGAGGATACTGGGAACATAAATATACTGCTACCGGTCAACATGGAGGATAAATACAGCAGCAACGTTTTATCGGGAGGGAAACTGGGGATGGTGGAAGTCCCTGATTCAAGGTAACATCTGTTCTGGTTAACTTTTATTTTTATTCAGTTCATTTGAATACATTTTTTATTTCCTGACTCATTTTTGTCTGTTTTAGATCTGTTAGGATTACCAAAGCTATTTATTTTTCCTTGACGACAGGTTAATTTGATTGAAATTCAGAAGTTTGCATACGTTTCTGATGGGAGATAAATTAACTTTACCTCTGAATTTTTCGTCTTTTTGAAGTACTAAACACTTAGAATGGTTTTTGAAACAGTTTATTTATCTAACCATATCCTATTAGTTTCCACTTATGTAATTTATGCTGTTTTTCCTTTCTGCAGGTTAACCAGATACATTGTTCTGCTGATCCTCTCAAAGATCCTGAAAGCTTTAGGTATTTTTGAATCGTATGATATCCTCAAAGTCGTTCATATAGTTCAGTTCATCTTCATATTAAAGTTAGGGTGAGTATTTATTCTCCTCTGATCTGTTCTGATTCATTTTTGAATGGTTTAGTATTTATTTTATATTGATAACATGAATGTTTTTGTTTGTTTTGTAGGAGTGCTGTTATACTGCTAGTCTTTCAAAAACCATTTTCTTCTGGAAAAGCCGTCTCAAAGCGACAGGTTTGTTGGACTCTCTTTTTATTACTTTTTTTATTTGCACTAGTAAACATCTAAAAAGTGTGGCAGGCATATCAGCCTCTATTGATTTGTATTTTGTAGATCTTCATCTAGAGATGTAAAATTGCACCAACAACAATTTTCAACAATTACTTTTTATAAAGTAACTCCTTCTTGGATTTTGGGATAGATTTTGTAAAAAAAAAAAAATTGGAATTAAACGTCAATAGTTTCGTGGCGCTACTTTTGAATTTTTGTGACAATTTTCCCTCTTTAAACCACATAAAAAAAATCTACATATAGAAGAAAATGGATGAGGAAAAAATCAAGGAAGGCTGATTTAGCTGTAGTAAAACAGAAAATACTGCCACCTGCAGGTTGGAGGTAGAATCACTTTAAGTATTTTTCACAATTTTCACAGATAAGTTTTTAACTTATAATATGGGGAAAATGTCTTGTTTAATTAGCAGATTATTTGGTTTTTAACTAGAACTTTTTCATCAGTATTAAGAAATTATTAACTTAAAGCAAATTTCTATTTCCTGTTGAAAAGTTACTTGTTAGTTTTGCACTAGAAACTCGACCAAAGATATATTTATAAAGATGAACCTGCTGTGATGAATCAACCTGTTTTTCTTTCTGTCTCTGTTTTAGTGGATAAAGTTGGTTAAACATGCTGTTTTCAGCTGCGTTATTTCCCTCCTGGGCTTCTTTGGTCTCACCCTCTGTGGACCTTTGAGGTAAATGTTTACATTATTTTAATATATTCTCACATTGTTTTTCCTGCATAATTGCAACAGTTATGATTATTTATCTCCTAAGATGCATTTTTTAAATCATTCTTTATTTTTCAGGACTTTGCTGCTTTTCGAGCACAGTGACGTTGTGGTCGTCGCTCTGCTCGGCGTTCTCTTCACCAACTCAGGAGGCGGACCGTCCAAGGTTTCTCTTTATTTAGTTTGATTTTATTTTTGTTTATTTTTACCTTTGCACAATAGCAGCCAAAGATTGAGATTTTGAATGATGTCATTCACCCAAGAAGTTTGTTTTTGATTAGAAATGAGTCGGACATCTCTTAAACATTACAATGAAAAAGGAGAGCTAACTTGGAAATGATAATTTAGTCGGAATAACGTTTATCAAGGACCTTCTGCTATCTGATTATTAATCGATTAATTCTAAAATTAATCAACTGGTCAGGCTTCCTACACTGTACTGATGCTAAATCTTGAAGAAAGAGTTGAGCTTCTCAAATGTCTGCCAGAAAGTGCCAATTTTTAAATTTGATTAAATCAGTGTAATCAATAGAATAATCAATTGTTATTGGAGCCCTAAATTACGCAAATAGGCACAATTTCAAGAGAATAGTTAGTGATGCGACAAGAAGTTATACCAATAAAGTCGGAATAACTTAGAATAAAGTCGTAAAACATCACGTGGGACAAAAAGTCGTAGTAACACGAGAAGAAAGTCATAAAACAAAATAATTCTTGTTCTAATACTCTGTGGGTGATGAATGCCATATTTTTGAACATTTATGTATTTATTTTTTAATCTTATTTTTTAAGTTAATTGGACCTGGTAGAACACAGCTTGAAGCGCCCTCTAAAGGCCAGATATGACACTGGATGTGCAGCTCTGATCGGATCCAGGTACCAGAACCAGTTCTGGTTCCTGAACCGGTTCTGGTTCCTGAACCGGTTCTGGTACCTGAGCAGGTTTTTCTGTGGCTTCCTGCAGACCAGAGGAGCAGCTTTCTTCATCATCGCTGTGATCTGCCTCCTGCTCTTCGATAACGACCATCTGATGGCCAAGATGGGGGATCATCACCGTATCCTTTCATCCAGAGTTCTCATAGTTTTGGCTTCAGTTTGGTTTCACCTGCGGTTCTGTTTGGGCCTTGACTGGAGCCGTAACGCAGCGGAGGGACACCATGACAGCGCGCTCACACACTTCCTGTACACGGCCATTTCTCTGCTAGGAGTCGCAGATCACAAGGTGAGTGAAGCTTCTTCTTCTCCTTCTAAAAACCTTCCAGGTTGCTACAAGAATAGAAATTAGCATGCTAACCCCTCATGTTTCATATCAGCCACTTGAATTTCAGGAAGATCAAAATTTTTCAAGATGGCTGCCATTTCAAGCCTCTCAAAACAGTTAAATAATGAAATAAAATCCTATTCTAATGACATGGATGAACTTTATGTCACATCATATGCTTAGGACTTTATCTTATTTATAAAACTTTACATTAACAATTTGTTTTTCAAAGTGATGGAACATGAAGTTGAGTCCTTGTATGTTGATTCTGAGGATGTTTGCGTTGTTCCCCCGCCCGCCTGCAGGGCGGCGTGGTTCTGCTGGTGGTGTCGCTCTGCCTGAAGGTCGGCTTCCA